ACAATGGCAGAAGCTTCAGATGTCAGCTTTACTGCCCTCTCAACACTCTGAGAATGTGAGGGTAGATCTGGTAGCTTCAGCTGTGTGCCGTTCTCCAGTGCATCGTGAAGATCGCTGTCGGAGAAGCATCTTTCCTGCCTCTTGATCTACTGATCCCAACTGGAATTAACCTTTTGGTTCATGCTTTGCTCTCTGATCTCTCAAGTACTCTCTCTCCTCAAGTGAAACCTTCTTACTTGGAGGGTACAAGCTTTGAGTTTGACAATTTTCAATTGGGCATCTCACACATTTGTCATTGCAGGGTCGAATAGGTAGATGACAGGTGCACGCAGAAATGTCGAAAAGTTTGTCAAGGCTTTCCTCAAAATTTTTGTCTTCCAGTTGATCTTCTTCATCTTCTGGAAACAAGCTTTATCTATCTTCTTTACAATGTAATACTCATCATACAGTGGCAACCGTGGGTTGGGTGGGTTAGACGGAAATCTGACTCATTATCCTGAAAAAGTTTTTCCTTTTTTTCAACATGTGTAAGGTTTTTCTTTGTTACTATATATAAATCTATCAATCTCAGTCAGTCCAACATCATATTTACAAAATCAACCCACCTTAATATCCATCCATCCATCCATCATCATTTTCTATAACTGCTTGTCCTATCCAGGGTCATGGGGGGTCTGGATCTTGTCCCAGAAGGCTACAGGCACAATGCATGGAACAACCCAGAATGGGGCGCCAACCGATCAATGGCCCAAAATGGTATAGGTTATATAAAATGCAATTATCCATCCATCCAATCATCCATCCATCATCATTTTCTATAACTGCTTGTCATATCCAGGGTCATGGGGGGTCTGGAGCTTGTCCCAAAAGGCTACAGGCACAAGGCATGGAACAACCCAGAATGGGGCGCCAACCCATCAATGGCCCAAAATGGCATAGGTTATATAAAATGCAATTATCCATCCATCCATCCATCATCATTTTCTATAATTGCTTGTCATATCCAGGGTCATGGGGGGTCTGGAGCTTGTCCCAAAAGGCTACAGGCACAATGCATGGAACAACCCAGAATGGGGCGCCAACCCATCAATGGCCCAAAATGGTATAGGTTATATAAAATGCAATTATATAAAATGCAATTTAAAACAAATGTTATTATACTTCTGTCAGGGTCAGCACCCCTAGAACATAAGAACATAAGAAAATTACAAATGATAGGAGGCCATTCAGCCCATCAAGCTTATTTGGGGAGAACTTAACTAATAGCTCAGAGCTGATAAAATCTTATCTA